ATTCCCACATGTCTTGGTTTCCTTTTTGAGTCATCTCCACTTTAGAACTCGGATGAATGCTGTTAAAAATGTGTTTGAAGTCTTGAAAATATTGAAGAAAATTCAGTCTTCTGCTCACTGAATGCTAGATTCCTAAATTTGTTTATTTTTAAGCAGACTTTAAATGTGGCTTATGTTTGTTGTTGAATTTAAAATATATTTTTTACTTTTAAATAATTTGTCATTTTCCCTTCTAGGTACCAAAACTTGCTGTTTTGGGGACTTTTTAAAACTTTAGCATATTGATTTGTTGACCTTACCATTCCTAGTTATCGTTTAAGAAACAATACCATTTTATTTTGAAGAAGAGAGAACGCACTTTGGTCATTTAAAAGTCTAAAAATATGTTTTCTAAGCATTAAGGATAAAAGTTGAAGGACACTAAGTAGCTAACCCTGTAAGAAGTCATGTAGCAGTGGCCTGTGCTGCTCTGGAGAGACCCAGCTTGTTATGTGGGAGGGGAGTGTCAGGAAGTGACAAGTACAGACAGACACACAGGACTGATGAAATTGCAGTGTAAATAGCTAAATATGCGAACTCTCTAACCTGAAGCAAAATGGTCACACAGCAGAAACAGCTGCAGCATGTCACAGTGTGGGTCCTTGCTCTGGGCCCTGCTGAGGGCACACGGGGGCCTGTGGAACTGTGGGTCAGGAAAGCAGTCCGCACGGCGGCACCACCCTTTTCAGCCATGGTTTCCATCTACTTCCAGACCGTGTATAAAGAACCTATCTGCTCGGTTAAAGACAAGCTTACCGTTAGGCTCTCCTAGACTCTGCATTAGGAAGGCTGCATCCTCATGCCAAGGCAGAAAGTAGAATACATGTCCAGCTGTTCCAAGAAGACTGTCTCAAGGTCTCGGCATCCTGGGAAAGCCAATTTCCTCACTATGTTAGAAAGAACCAAGAGAGAAATTAGAAGAAGCAAGACTTTTCTGTTTCAGAGTGAATTCAATTAAAGCCATAGTAATTATAAGGACGTTGATCTTTGATAACACTAAATGACCTGGGACCTGTGTTGACATGTCCTCCAAACTGGCCCTAAGGTTATACATGTTCTTTTAACAGCAAGTCCATCTGTGATACCAGATAGATAATTCCAGAGAAGCTCATTTTAAGAATCAGTTTCAAACTTTCTTCCTTGAAAATTTGTCCCAATACGCATGGAAGTTCACAAACGTGAGTTGCGTCCCTTGCAGTGAAGTCCACACAGGTGTCGGAGTGAACTGCTGCCTGCATACATAGGGTTTCACACAGCAGTCACAGAGCCCTGGACACTTGATCAGAAATGCAGATATGTCTGTGTTGGAGGGTAGTCTTACCTTCACAGACTGCACAGGGCTGCAGGATCCTATCAACAGTGTGACTGACATATTAAGGGGGGGGGACAAGAAAGTCCATTTGTCAATTTACAGTGACACATATAGCCATCAGGTCAGATAATGTCTAAGTTTATTTTTCACCCTGTTGGCAAACCACATGGGAAAACAATAATCAGAAGTTTACCTGTTAAAAATCAAAAAAAAAGGATAGTTCCACAATTTGGGTGTAGAATGGCCGTGGACTCTGAGAGTCTGTTAAGTTCCCTTCCTTAGTGAGGACAAGCCTGCCAAAAAGGTCCTACACTCCTGATAGTGCTGTAGGTCACTGTGTCACCAAGCATGTGCCTAAGTTGCAGCTGAGAAGCCCCGTGTTCTGTGCCCACCTGGCTAAAAAACTCCCTTCTGAGAATCATCTTGTCGGTAGAAATACAGTGAAACTGCTCGAAGGTCTTCTGTGAGATGTTCTGTTCTGAAGGTGCCTTTGCATCTTTCGTCACAGATTCAATCCACTAAGTGCCTTTTGTTTCAAAATTCTTGAAAAGATACCACCAGAGCCCCTTGAGTGAGAAGCAAGGACACAGTTAACTTTGTTTAGCCTGAGCCTCCAAGGAGGTGCTAAAATAAAGAAGGTCTAAAAGGAGTAGTGAATAGGAGTGAACTGAAACCTGCAGGTTCTAGAACAGTCTAGTTTGTTAGCCGAGGGCTTCAGAAGTCTTTACAACCAACTTCTCTACTTTTCAGTTGATCCAGGGGTATCTTAGTTCATGAACTACACTAATATCTGAAACACCTTTTAGGCTACCTCAAGAATATTTCCCTTCATCACAAATGTAATCTCTGTTCCTATGGAACTAAAGTAGGAAGGATACTTATATTTTTACCATTTCAAAATACAGTTCATAATTAAAGTTTTTTTTAAGGTGTTTGCTGTAGGGCACATATATTTGCTGAAGAGCAGAGAACGAGAGAAAAACAGAAGAAAAGTGAGAAATTACCCACCACGGGAGATGGACATACTGCAATCCCTGCTCCTCCATGCTCTTCTTGAGATCTTGGGCACATATGCCCTGGCACGATTTTCAAGCTACCAGGTCCAGGATTCAAAGCATGGTTGGCTATGTGGGAGTCCAACGCCTTAACCACTATGCCACTTGCTAGCACCCTTACTTAAAGATTATAACCAACTTAGAATTATAGACAGAATTTTGTTTTTGTTCATTTTATTTTTAGACAGTGTTTCACTGTGTCACAATCCTGCCTCAGCCTCCCAAGTAACTGGGACTGTGGGCACACACACCATACCCAGATTTTAGGGTGTGTTGGGAATCAAACTTGGGCATCCTATGTGACCTCAGCCTGCAGTAGCAGCATCTACCAGTGTGCTAGCATACCTGGGCCAGTAGACAGAGTTTTGGGTAGAGAAAGAACGCCCAAATTTTTATTTGCTCAGGATCACTCAATAAAAATGCTAACCTGAAACTTATATTTTCATAAATTCTATTTCCGTAAGAGGTGGATTCTCATGACTAGTATGTCTTACTTGTGATTGGATTCTTTACATTTATGCTCTTACTCTATCATAACACACCCACATACAAATTGAGTATCCCTTATCCAAAATACATGGAACCTAAGTATTTTGGATTTTCCATTTGGGGGGACTTTGGAATACTTGCGTATACATAATGAGATCTCTTGGGAAGCCAGGTCTAAACACAAAATACCTTTGTGTCTCCTGTACACCTCACATACTTGCTCAAAGAGGACTTCATACGATGTTTGTGGATAGCAATGTATTGACGCGACTTGTCACATGAAATCATGTGTGGAATTTTCCACTTGTTGTATCGTGTGTGCTCAGAAAGTTTCAGATTCTGGAGCAGTTTGGATTTCAGATTTTTAGATTAAAAATGACTGATCTATATTATTTACAACCTTAGCATTTTCATAATTCTAAAGTTTTCAATTTAATCATACTGTGAATATAAAAGGAAGTTAGTACCTATGTAAATATATTTTAATTATGTTGAGATTTTAATAGTATGTATCCGTATACTCATCTAGTGCAACTTCAAGTAATCTTAAATCATTTAAATATATTAATTTTTGCATTATTATTGATTTTCTTTGATTGGAAATTGCATTTACTAGCATTTGCTGCATGAGATATGCATGAGCATGTTATAGCTACCGTATTTGCTTGGCAAAATAAATATTTTGTTATTTTTCTATGTGTTGAATAATGCCCTGCTCCTTATAAAATACTTTGGACAACATATTTTCTTCTAAATTTATTAATAGACCAAAGAATATTTCTTAAATAATGAAGTTTACTTATGTTTTAATCTATCTTTACAACTCTGAAGGTTATCTTTGGGTTTCTGTTTTTTCCACAGAATAAGTTGAACCAGAATTTATAATTGTCTTGCTCTCACTTAAAAGAAATTTTGATTTCAGTAATTTTTCATTGATAAGTCAGCAAAATTTTTTCAAAATGTTGGAGCATTCCTTGTCTTGTGCTTTTAATCTTAGGCTTATGGTATGATTTGGCTCTGGGCGAGAGCTCACTATTAAAACCCAAACTGCATGTTCTTACAAACTGCATGTTCTTACAAAGAGTGAATTAGGCATATATCATCCTATTGTATGAAAAAGAGCTCTTATTGGGACCAGCAGTTAGCGTAATGGCTATGTCACTGGACTCCCATGTAGTCGACTGCGGTTCGCATCCTGGACCCGGTGACTTAAAACTCATGCTGGGTGCGTGTGTGTGCGTGCCCAAGATCCCAAAAGGAGAATGGAGGAGAAGGGATTGCGGCATGGCCATCCCCCCTGGAGGATGATTTCTCATTTTCTGTCTCTCTGTCTCTATCTGTCCGGCGAGCACACACGCCCTATAGTGAAAACCTCTCTCCAAAAAAAAAAAAAAAAGCTCTTATTATAAATAGCAAAATTCGGTTTAGTATAGCTTCAATTTCATCATTCCCTAGCAATGTATTATTGATTATTGTTGTTGGTATGTAAACTCTTTCATATTCTGGCATTAGAGCTATATGTGAGCAGTTTATTAAATAAAACATTCCTGGTCTGATTCTTCCACATAGTTTTGAACAATACCTGCTGACCAAAGTTTCTGATATTTTTAACATATATTTCTAGGAGTAAATGTTTTCTTCTACACCTTTTTTTCTTTCTTTCTTTCTTTCTTTCTGTGGTTTTTGCTATAGAGTGCATGTGCTTGCCAGAGAGAGAGAGACAGAGGGCACGTGAGAAATCACCTCCCTGGGAGATGGCCACACTACAATACCCTCTCCTCCATTCTTCTCCTGGGATCTTGGGCATACACGCACATGTGCCCAACTTGATTTTCAAGCCACCAGGTCTGAGGCTCGAACTATTACCGCACATGAAGGAATCCAGAGCCTTAACCACCATGCCACCTACTGGTCCCGTAAACTGATTTTTAATGGCTATATTAACTTGAAAGTGAAAAAGGGTCAATGATAGCTACATGAGCCATTGTTGCAGCTAGGAAGAGATTCATGTTGGAGGTGTAAAATCCCAGGCCCCTTACTTAGATGTGTGTTGGGATGTGTTGGTGGTGAGAAACACGCTGAGCAGTGCCTTTTCTTCATTTCAGCCTTGGAATGGATGGCTTCGGCCAGCCCATCGGCATTATTGGACGCCCTGCCACAGCATATGGATTCCGCCCAGACGACCCTTTCTACTATGGCTATGGCTCTCGATAAAGTTGTACCCTTCGTGTGTGTCCCCCGCTTAGAGGAAACCTGTGTGGGTTGGGTTAACTTTGAATCTTGGCTTAATAATGCATGTTGATACTATTGTGGTCTGTGTTTCTGTTACTTTCCGTGTTGTTAGCTGCAGATTAATTCCACCCCTGCATGGTAGTGCTGACCCTGTTCACTCATCCCACCACAGCGTGATGCTGCAGATCATTTCCCAGGACCCCCGCGGGTGTCAAAAGCTGCTAGTCTGGAACACAACAATACATTACGTACGTTAAGTGACTAATTTAATTTCTATTAAAAAGAAGGATAAAGTGCAAATGAATGAGTGAATGTCATCATGTGTTTGTATGTAACACATTTCATTGGTAGTTACACGCATACAGAAAGTACATGAATTTTTTTTTCTGCGCTTTTTTTCCTCTTGAAAACACTTGAGTATTTCATGTGATATATCCTACCTTTAAAAATGTATAAAAATAACATCACTGTTATTCCATGCCACAGTCTCAAAAGGTTCCTTCCCAAAGTTACTAACTTGTGAGTTTTCAGTGAAGAGTGGAATATATGCCAAAAGTTACGTTATATATGAGAATAGTTTCTTGTGCAATTTAAATTTATAATTATTTGCTCATTGTAATATAGAAGACCTAGCACAACTAGTATAAATGAAAAAGGACTAATACTGGTCTTTCAACTTTCACCCTTCAAGTAATTTTAGTATTGAAAGCATAGAAAAGCTAAGAAATGGAAAGACATTGTTATTAATAATTAATTTAGAAAAGACTTTATTAATGTTATAATTTGAAACAAATTACTGGAAAAGCAAAACAAATAACTATAATCCAAAAATAGTCCCATGATCACCTGATATGGAAGGAAGGGAATACAAAAAGATAACACTTCTGTCCTTGAATTTAAAATCTCATCACTCTAAGTGTACTATTTATTGCCTTAATTTGTATTTTAAGCACAAAATAGTAGAACTGGAACAGGACTTTGAAATAATTCAGTCTTTCTACTTATTTGAGAAACTACATGAAAAAATTAAATATAATCAACAGATATTTTCTTAACTACTTGCTGTGGGTGAGGAAGTATATGATCCTAAGATATAATTTATACCATTGAACTCACACAACTGAATTGATCTTTCTGAAAACATGTGTTAATTTGTCTTAGTTTTTGTGTTAACTATAAAATACTAAAGCTGAGAAGGCCTTAGAAGGAACTCCGGGTAACTGTCATTTTTACGCAGTTTGAAAGAACTGACCAGAAGACATTAAAGGACTCGTCCATGTTTACTCTGTCAGGGACATGGCTTGTCTCTGCTTTCTATCCCGCAGCCTTAGTGCTAAGTTTCTTGCTTTATTATTTGTCATATGTACAAAGTATAAACACACACGTGACATTAATAGAAAAATAAAGCAAACATCCTATAGTTTTAACTTCTTTCATGCTTTACAAACTAACTTAGGAAGAACACCTTCACAGTGAGTGACATTTCTAGGCTGTGCTTGCTGAGGATTGCATGTACATGCTCACCCTCCTATCACAGATTTTTCATTATTTCAGGACTTTCACTAATTTAGAAATTATAAGCTTCCCACTCAGGCATAGACTAGTTTATCATTGCATTACTTACAAAGGAAAATTTTGCTGAAGGGATTAATAAGGAAGATACCTAAAATGCTTATATACTTCAGAGAACAAAAGGTTTAGGACTTGGGCAGTTTTTAAAATCTCATGTATATGTAAGCTAAGTATCCTGGCCTTACTAGATTTTTTACTACAAATTAAGGTCATTTAATAACTAAAATGCCATGGCTTCAAGCCACAGTTTATAGCTGGAAATTATTTCTTCTCAAGAGTCCTTTCTCTTTCAGAGAGTTCCCTGCGATGGTACCAGGAATAGGTCATCATGTTCCAGTTCCTTCTCTTGCCCCTACATTGCCTCCTGTGGTTGGTCATCTGTATGAGATCATAACTACCTGCCACATCTGAGAACCACCACCACCTCCACTCAGCATCTGGGGAAGACACCATCATTCCCTTTGGTTTTTCTTCAACCCTATTAGTCAGGGATCTCCAGGAAGACAGTATTAATACACAAGAGGGGACATATGGGGGAATCAGCTCACATAATTATGACAGCTGAGAGATCCCACAACAGGCCATCTACAGATCCTGGGATTCTGGTAGCATAGATCAGTCCAAGTTCCCTCAGAACTAGGAAAGCCAGTGGCTTAATTCTCAGTCCAAGACCTAGAGTTTGAAAACTTCAGGGCTGCTAGTTTAAGTCTCAGAGCCCAAAGGCTAGAGAACCTGAAGTTGTGATGTCCCAGGGCAGAAGATGGGTGTCTCAGTGCCAAGAGGACAAGGACTTGGGCTTTCTTCTGCCTTTTTGTTGTATCCAATCCCAGCCAGTAGGTAGTGCCTACCCACACCAAAGGCAATCCCCCTCAGTCTCTGACTCCCACACCTTCACAGACACACTTGGCAACTATGCTTTCCCGGTTATCTTTGTATTCCTCAGTCCAGGAACACTGACACCTAAAATCGAGCATCGCCACGTTCCAGTGAGGTCCCTAACAGGCAACAGAATTGAAATGGTAATGTAAATAGGCTTCATTGAATGTTCTCTTTAGAGTACAGCAGACCCTTTACTGTTTGGGATAAAGGTTTGTCTGAATAGAGAGGCATTAAACAGAACTTTATGATACACATGCATGCGTGCATGCGCACACACGAATGACATGGAAGAAAATTGAAGTTCTCTGAAAAGACAATAGG